AAATTTCATTGTTAATAACTACATAATGGTCTACATAATGTTGTGTAACTTACATATTAGGTATTTCAGAAGGGCACATATATTTATAAATGCACTACATACTACCACCATTTTATCTAATACACTATACCCATTTCTCTGTTTTGATAACATGCTTATAAGAATTGTTTCATGAAAGACTTTAATTTTTTTTTAAAAAGACCTATAACCCTTTCCACGTGGATTCGTACAGTTCCAATGTTGCGTGTTTTTTCTACATCTGTGGAATGTAACTGTGTTGTGCCTCTCGTAATAGCCGGAATTTCCTGCCAAAATTATATATATATATATATATATATATATATATATATATATATATATATATATATATATATATATATATATATATATATATATATATATATATATATATATATATATATGATTTTGTATTCTATGGTGTAATTCTAATTAAAAAATTAATAGTCTGATGATGTTCCAGTCTCAGGTATGTAATTTAACCAGCAACTAGCAACATTACTAATATTTGAAGGTGTGTCAGTGTATACCTCAAAACAATCCAACATGGGAAAGTCCTTATACAGACATCAAGAGAATAAATGTTGTATGGTACAAAGAAAACAAGGTATGATATTGGTCACTACTTCACAGGTGATAACGGCACCATTGGTCGGCAAGCTCCGAGCTCCAATTTCAAATCGTCACACTGATGTAAACATGAAGCGATTTCAAATGTCAAGCTCAATAATTTCACATAACTTTTGAGGTTATGTCCTAATTTTTCCCTATTCTAGGTCTTTTTTATTAGTGGCAATTGAATAATATGAATATTTTTTTTGTATGGCGTATGACGTCACAGGTGATATGCGCAAACTGAACAAAATTGGAGCCGCTATCGATGATACCTTGTTTTCTTTGTATCATAATGATGTTGTGTACCGGATTCACAACACATCCATAGAAGTAAGATGAAAGTAGTTCGCCTGGACCGATTTACGAGATACCAGATAGGAAACCTATTAGCATGGCGACATCTTTCTGGGAAACTTAAAAGCCTATTTAAATAAACTTGTTCCACACCATTTAATGTAGGGTTTGCATTGCTTCTCAACAAAACAAAATTTATTAAAGGAGCATTAGCACTAGCCGAGTGGGTACAGGCAACCTCACCATTTTTCGTGTATTTGAATACGCGATAAGAAGAAATGCCAAACTTTTCTTTTGATCTAGATTTTGGATACGGATAAAAAAAACTTTTTAAATGATCAGTGTAGTTCAACACCATAGTGTGGGTAACAGGAATAACATGAAATTTACGTGAAGATGACTTGACAATTTCCATGTACTCTTGCGGTAAAAAAATGCGATCTATATAACGTTTTTTCTTTTCAATTATCCCCAAGAACCTGTCACAGAGTAAAAAATTATGCCCTGGTTCGGGAAAACGATGCATAATTACGTCAAACCTTTCTGTAAAACACAAAGTGGCTAAATATCGAACAAGGGCATGGTTTTTATTTTGGGCGCAACAGTTGTCACTAAATAAGTACAAAATCTTTATATCAGGCCCAAGTACGTTCACGATATAATATTGTAGAAAACTTACAACTTCGTTGGCTCCTTTTTTACAGGTACTTTCGTCATACATAAAAAAATGTCCCGTTTTGTTTTTCGCCGAGTGTATACAAAAATTTTGGACCCATAGTTGTCGCAAATAAAAGGCGTCCCCAGATGGCACCTTGGGAAGGGGCATGTTCTGCTGATAGTCGAAAGACAGAACTTCGACATGATCATTGTCTTCCGCTTCTTTCGATTTTTCTTTCAGTTCCTTGTAAAACCATTCGGACTTAAGAAGGTGTAGTTTTTTTTGGGTTTCGAAACTACTCTTTTGAAACTTACTCTTCTTCTGATTCTGCTCCCTGAACCTTGTTTTCCAATATGTCAGATTTTTTGCACGTATCTTTTCTCGGACGGCCAAAACTCATATTGAAATTTTCGCGAAAATAACGACCATAAAAATCATAAGAAACTGTAGGTTTAAATGGTAGATTTTCTTGTTTTTGCTTGTAAATTTCTGGTTCAAATTTCTTAAGATATAGATCGTACATAATCTTAAGATTCAAATCAGGAGACAAATACTGCCTACAGCTTCTTGTTCGAGAATAATGCGATATTTGCTTAGGAAAGCTTTCGATATGCTCACGAACTTGATTTCTCACAGGTTCCGGAATTATATTCTTTCTATTAACGTGTTTACCTCGTTTGTCCTGGACGGGGGTTACACTGAGTGTTAGGTGATTTGCAATACGTTCTAAGCGCTTCTTTCCGATTCCATGAATTAAACATAGAGCTTGCTTACAGACTGGTAACTCGAATGCACCCTTTCTCAACTGAAACAATATTAGATGTTGGCCACCCCTTACGGACATAACATTACGTATTGTCACCGAACATGTACCAAATTTTATTGAAATCGGTTAACTTCAAACTCGATTGCAAGATTTATACCGGAGAGACAGACACGAAAGTGGGTTAATAAAAACGTGGTAAAAATTAGTATTTTAAGTAGCTTACCCTATACTTGTAGCTGCAATTTCGTTGTGAATTGACAACATTTTTACGACGTCTTTTAATCGTGTTAACAGTTATTAAACTTGAGAGGTATGAATCTTGTTTTTCTTGATCTGCAAGAGCATTGAATGCCGTAAATATTTCGTTTTTTTCATCAGGGAAACCTTTTTTAAACACTCTTTTTCACATTTACAGTCAGTGCCTTGTTTGCGTTCCAGTACCATTTGTCCAGTAGACATGGACTTATAACTTTCTCCTCTGGCCCGTTGAACTTTTTGTACACTCCTTTTAAAACTTTTCACATTACGTTTTCTTTTTCTACTACCTGCTTTCATTGTTTCATTTTCTTCTAGAGGTTCTACGGTTTCTTTCACAGAAGAGAACCCTAGCGAGGATGGCTGGTATTCACTGCCCGAACTCTGAAATGGCTCACTCTCCTTTGCCTCACTTTCAGTTTCATTATTGCCACTTAGTCCTGCACATTCACCACGTTTATCCATAATAATTCAATAATAGCCTGACTTGCGGACAAAACAAACATACCCTACTACGCGCAATACCGTCTGACTTCGCTGGAAAAACAAAACTAAACGACAATGACAATAGACCGTTGCACTACGCACTACGCACTTTGCGTCATTTTTTACTGCTGCAGGAGCGGGATATGTTTGGCGTGTTTTAAAAGTACAATCATTGCACCACCGATAAAGACGATGTTCTGCTACCTATAGGCATAATAATCTCATTTTTCAAAATTTTGCACATATCCCCTGCACCAGAGTCTTCAATTACGAAACAATATTCCACGTTATTTAATAGTAAAGTTAGTATAAACTACCAACTACAACCTACCACTTTTGTCTAAAATTTCAACAGAAATTTAACTTAGTTCTGATGAAAATTGTGTAACAAAATATACTAAAATCCACAAAGTTCTACAATTATGGTCATATAGTATGTAAAAATTTTAGCCACACACTTTCTATTTAACATTTTCAACAAATTTGCATCATATTATTTCTAGGGTGGGTATATTTATTTCACTTAAGCATTTGTGGTCGCTTTAATAGCGGAGGGAAATACTATAAGGATTAAGTCGGAGACAGTAGATTTTTAGTGAGGCTATATTATTCGGTTTCACTTATGACATTCGCGGAAACTGTGATACTTAATAAAATTTGACATTAGTTTTCAAGTTAGTATTTATAGATGTATAAAATGAGATTATATCAAGTCTGGAAATTATAAAATTTTCGTTTAACATCTCAAAACCAAAACTTTATAATTCGGAAATTGTTGAATTTAGGTACATAATCATAATACACATAAGTAGATAATATATGAGAGACCCTCCTCCTCATTATACTCCTCCTCCTCCTCCCCCCACTACTAATTCTACCCTTTCCCCTACTCCTTTTTATTTCCAATATATTTTGTTATTTATTCTTAAGATTTTCGTTTATATCTAGTTTCAACATCAGTAAGAATAATATCTAGTATAATAATTTAAAAATTGATTTAAAATGAGTGATTTAGTAGAATTTCCATTGCAATTATCAGATCAATCTGTTCTTAGTGCTCAACGTCAATCTTTTAGTGTGTTAGACTCTCCTCCTAGAGAAGAAGTAGAAAGTTTAACTACTTTAAAAAATGAAAATGTACAAGAAAGTATGAAAGTGCTTTGTGCTATTTGTTATGAAATGATTGATTTCTATGAAAGTTGTATGCCAAATACGTGTTCACACTTCTTTTGTCTAAGTTGTATATTGAAATGGAATGATGTACAAAGTGGTTTAAAGATGAAATGTCCAATGTGTTGTTCAAGTTATACATATTTGGTGCAGATTCAAGAACATGTAATTAGACATCATTTTACAATCACATTAAAAAGAGGATTTAATTTCTAAAAAGAAAATGATGCTTATATTTTTATTCAAAATACATATTCTGAATAAAGTATATTTTAGTTTAACAACTTTAAGTTAGGTTATAAAGTTAAAATATTGTTTATAATTAAATATTGTTTATAATTAAATATTGTTTATATAAATTAAAACATTGTTTATGAACCTAAATAGTCTTTGAATATACCTATTTACCCTATAACTGTGAAGTATCTACTTATAAATATGTATATGTTACTACATATAACTATTATACATTTTTACTTTAAAATAATAGCATATACCCTTGTAAATTACCACATATTAATAAATAAAAAATACTTATTACAAATGTTTAACTAAATACTATACTAATATATAAAATTATAAAATTTTAGAAATAGTAACTTAATAACTAATTACTAAACTAAAATATATAATTTAAACAATACAAATAAAATTATAAAATAGTAACTTAATAACTAATTACAAAACTAAAATATATAATTTAAAAATATAATATAATAAAACAAAATATAATACATATCAAAAATAAATAAAATAATGCATCCTATATATTACTACATTTCCACTGAAAAATTCTTCCCATTGCAAATATAGCAACATGTAGGATGCATTATAATATATAAATTAGTGTTACACACTGCACATTTTCCACCACGTTTCATTTTATTAATTTCTTCAGGTAACAGTTTTGTGGAGAAATGCGAAGACATATGCTCATGGGAACCATATGGAACCATGAGTTGGTGTCTATAATAACACTCTCCACACAGTGCCAACTGACGAAAAGTACCCACCACGTTAGTAGATATCGTGACTCGCACATAATGTTTGAAGACACAAAACACTCCGGATTCTAGGGCTTCTTGATACTCTGTTACACCAATATACTTTGCCCTAATCGCCGTATGGGTGTCAGATGCGACATTATCTTCACATCCGGAGTCGTTTGGATCTTCAACATCTTCCGGAGCCAATCCTTCTACGTTGTTGGTATCTCTCTGCTCCAAAATATCTAGTCTTTGGTCAATTATTTCTTCGGTCTGTTGCCTGTTCACGAAGAATTCAAAAATGCGTAGAAAAAAATCCATATCTGGAAAAATTGCACACACAAAACAAAATAATAAATAAATAAATAGAAAAAATAGTATACACAAAATCTTACCTTGGTTGTCTCTCTATACCTCTGTACAGCACGAACTCAAGTTTTATTTTCGATATATTTAGCAATGACTTATGATGAGAAAGAACTGGTTGGATAGGAATGCAACCAGTAGAAGGTTAAAGTAGGGAGCAAGTATAAAACCATCTGCAGTTACGACAGACTGTGTACTTTCAAGAAGTTCTTGAAATAAGTTTTATGGTTTCAGTGTTTTCGTTACTCATTTTTATTTTGTGTTGTGTCTTGTGCATAGGTAAATATTTAATTAAAATGAATTCCGAAAAGATTAATATTTTACAAGTAATTACCATGAACAATTTTTCTAATCCTCATTTTATTTTTAACTCAACAAATCAAACCAGACCCAATTCACCAGTTATTAATTTCAGTGAGGAATTAGATAATTTCTTACATGAAATTAATAATTGTGAGATTGAAAATACGGACGACCTTTTTACACCTTTTGAAATGGAAAACTTTGCTGATTTGAACCAATTTTTAACCGACGTTGAAAATAAAGACATAGATTTGAACGACATATTTTTGGATGAACTAACAAACGACAATATTTCCATTTCAAAATTTGAGGAGTCACTAATACAGAATAGTCAATCTGATGAACTAAATTTAATAACAGAATATATTAATGACTCCAAAAATGAGGATCAGACTAGTTCTTCTCAAAACATTTCTCCTTTTTCACCGGCACACTCTCAAAAAATAGAAGAGTTTAGTTCCGATGAAAGAGGAGAAACGTTTAAGAACAAAACTGATTTTATTAAACCTTCATTTATAATAACAAAAAAAACGAAAACTTTAAAAAAAAATTTAAAACCTTATTCAAAATTAAAATCTCTTGGCTTCGCTTTGGAAGGATTTGTTAAAAAAACAAACGTGACTAAAGAAAATATCATAGAGCTTGAAAATTCAAAAAAATCTTTCAATACGTTAGTGGATTCTTTTAATTAAATATTTTCTTTTAAATTATTTATACGTTTCTTTTTTCCAAATTTAACCTTTCATATAACAGAATAAAATTTAATATAAAACCATAAAATTATTTTACAGAATAAAATTGAAAGATGTTTATTTGTCCATCCTGTAAAAAAAACTTTACTCGTAAAGATAACCTATCTCGGCATTTAAAGAGTGCCTGCAACAAATCTTCCTTTCTAAACAGATGGTTGACAAAGTCTACACCTGAAGAAAAAAGTAAGATTTTTTTCATTTTATGTTATAACCTTTTGAAATTAACAAAATAATTGTCTTTATAGAGAAATATTGTGAAGAATGCAAGGAGTTAATATCACAAAATTTATGGTTTGGTCATCTACGATCAAACGCACATAAAAATAATTCTAAAATAATTGAACAACCAGGAGTACAAATTATTAAATCTGCATTCAAAGAAAGAATAATAACATACAGATTATCTATGGAGGAGATGATCGTAAATGTTAAAAATTACTTTATAACATTGGAACAAAAGATTCTTCGGATATTTGAGGATCAATTAAAAAAAACATACATGCATTAAAATTAATATGGAGCTTTTTGGCTATTATTATAATCCAAGTACTGATAATCATGATGTAAAATCATTTAATACTCCATTTAAAGTGATTTGCAATAGTGCCGAAACAAAGGATTTGATTGAAGAATTTGTAACAGTTATTGACAATAAGGCAGATGAGTTCGCAGAAAAAGATTCTGGTAAGTGTTGTAACTTTAATCTAAAAATATATATGTAATTAATTTTATTTCTGGTTTCAGGATGGATCTTACTTAATTTTGTTCATTTGGAAATTAACATCAATAAATTCAATCCTTTGAGAGCATCATCATTTATTGAACTACCTCCTGAAATAGTACGACGTCAAGCTGTAGTTAACATAAGAAATAACGATGACTACTGCTTTGCTTGGTGTATCATGGCAGCTCTTCATACTCCAACAGGTATTGATTTTGTTACATCATCATACCCACATTATTCAACGGTTTTGAACACTGCAGGTATTGATTTTCCAATAACATTAAAAGACATTAAAAAATTTGAAAATCAAAACAATATTTCTATTAATGTATATGGTTTAGAAAAATATTATAATAAAATTTCTAATAATGAAGAATATGAAATAATTGGTCCTCTACATTTCACAAATGCTAAAAAAAATATTCATGTTAATTTATTATTGATAAACGATGATGATGGAAATCTTCATTATTGCTACATTTCCGATCTTTCTAAATTAATTTCTAAACAACTTAGTAAACACAATGGTAGAAAATATTTATGTGAAGGATGTTTGCAATATTTTGATACAGAACAAAAATTACAATACCATAATAGTTATGATTGTGATCATGTTAAAATTAATTTGCCTTCTAAAGAACTAGTTAAAGATAAATATGGAAATGTAGCATATGAAAATATATTAAAATTTATAAATTATCAAAAACAAATGGAAGTTCCTTTTGTGATTTATGCAGACTTTGAATGTATTTTAAAACCGTTAAATAATAATGAAAAAGTAGAAGATCCAAATAGTTCATATACTGTAAAAAAATTTGAACATATTCCATACTCTTTTGCGTATTATGTCAAATGTTCATTTGATGATGCATATTCTAAGTTTGAAAAATATAGAGGTTTGGATAGTGAAAAAGTTTTTATAAATTCTCTAGAACAAGATGCGTTAAATTTATATCAAACATTTTTAAAGACTCCTAAGAAAATGAATACTCTAACAGAATTAGAACAAACTACACATAACAATGCTAAAAACTGTCATATTTGTGATAAACCACTTTTAGGGGATAAAGTTGCCGATCATTGTCACATTACGGGCAACTATAGAGGACCAGCTCACTCTTTGTGTAATATCAACTATAAAATTCCTAATTTTATTCCAGTTATAATGCACAACTTACGTAATTACGACAGCCACCTATTTTTAAAGAATTTGTGTTTAAATAAAGAACAAATATCAGTAATTCCACAAAATAAAGAAAAATATATTTCCTTTGAAAAAAATTTTCATGTAGACAATTATTTTGATAGACATACAAGAAATTAAAAAAAAAGAATCTATCACTTAGATTTATCGACCCATTTCAATTTTTATCATTTTCTTTATCTAAACTTTCAGATACCCTAAAAGATGAACAATGTATAGAAATAAGAAAATTTTTTAAAGATGAGGAACATTTTAAACTTATTCGTCAAAAAGGTGTGTTTCCTTATAATTACATTGATAGTTTTGAAAAATTAGAGGAAAAATTTCTCCCTGAAAAAGATCACTTTTTTAATAGTTTAACAGATGAACATATTTCCGACGAGGAATATGAAAGAGCTCTTAAAGTTTGGAAATTATTTGAATGTGAATGTATAGGACATTATTCAGATATATATTTGCTATCTGACACAATGCTTTTAGCTGATATTTTCGAAAATTTTCGAAAAACATGTTTGTCTACTTATAAACTAGACCCTGCACAGTTTTATACTTTTCCCGGTTTATCATGGGAATCTTGTTTACGTTATACAAGCATAGAACTGGAATTACTGATAGATCCAGATATGATACATTTTTTTAAAAATAGTGTTCGTGGTGGAGTAAGTTCATGCATAACACGGAAATCTGAGGCAAATAATCCTTTTCTATCAAAATTTGATTCAACAAAACCTAATAAATATATAATGTACTATGATGCAACAAATTTATACGGTTTTGCAATGTCCCAATATCTGCCAACAGGTGATTTTGTATGGTTGTCAGAAAAAGAAATAAAAAATCTAGATATTTTTTCAATTTCTAATACATCTAGCAAAGGTTATGTTCTAGAAGTTGATTTAGAATATCCTGAACACCTTCATGACTGCCACAATGATTTTGCTTTTTGTCCAGAAAATGATAAACCACCTAATTCGAAATCTGCAAAATTAATTCCAAATTTGTACAATAAATCAAAATATGTAATTCATTACCAATTACTAAAACAATGTTTGCAAAACGGTCTTAAGTTAACTAAAATCCATAGAGTAATACAATTTTCTCAATCTGCTTGGTTGAAAAAATTTATAGATTTAAACACAAAGTTACGTAATGAGTCTAAAAATGAATTTGATCGTCACACCTTTAAATTAGCAAACAATAGTATTTATGAAAAAACAATGGAAAATGTGGATAGGAGAGTTGATGTAAGACTTGTTACCGAATGGGAAAAAAACAAAAGGAAAGATGGGGCTGAAAATCTCATTGCAAAGCCATATTTCAAGGACTTAACAATTTTCTCTGAAAATTTGGTAGCCATCCAAATGCAAAAAATATCGATTACATACAACAAACCAATATATGTTGGCTTTTCCATACTAGATATTTCAAAAACGGTTATGTATGACTTCTATTACAATTTTTTAAAACCTTTGTATAAAGATAATGTTTCTCTTCTGTATACAGACACTGATTCTTTTATTCTTGAAATTACAACAAATAATGTTTACCATGATATGCAAAAGAATATTCATAAATTTGATACCTCCAATTATTTACCAAATAACATACATGAGATGCCAATAGCACAATCAGTTGTTGGTAAATTTAAGGATGAATATGCTGGTGAACCCATTGAATCTTTTTATGGTACCGGAGCAAAAGCTTACTGTGTAAAAACCGAAAATGGTTTAATAAAGAAAGCCAAAGGTATAAAAAAACATGCTATTAAAAACCAATTAGATTTTATTCATTATAAAGATGTAGTAGAAAATAATTCTAAAATTTTTTGCTCCATGTATGTTTTTCGTTCTAGACTACATTCAATTTTTACTGAATTAATACATAAAATTGCATTGAATTCTGAAGATAATAAAAGATATCAAATTCCACATGATTTTAAAACACTTGCTTGGGGTCATCATGATATTTCATTTTACCAGTGGAATGCAGATAATCCAAACCTCGATATATTTTTTAAATAATACAATATATTTTATAGATATATAGATTTATACAGGAACAAATATATTTTTATGTATTTTAGTTTTAACATTTACCATAAAACTCTTTAATGGTGTGAAACATAAAACTTTACACAATTATGAAAAGTTGTACTTATTAAAAGTATAATGTATTAAATAGCATTCTACTCTGGAATGATTTAAATTTAATTTATAATTCCACTTATGAGTGTTTTAAACTTGTTATAATTTATAGATATTAGTTGTAGATTTATACAGAAACAAATATATTTTTATGTATTTCAGTTTTACAATATTTTTTAAATATTACAATATATTTTTTTATTTAGTTTTAACATTTGCCATAAAACTCTTTAATGGTGTGAAACATCAAACTTTACACAAAATAGTTCACATAGATTCATACAGAAACAAATATTTACCTATGCACAAGACACAACACAAAATAAAAACGAGTAACGAAAAACTGAAACCATTAAACTTATTTGAAGTGACTCATATAATTTTGTTAAATAAGTAAAATATATTTTTACATAATGTACTTTAGGTTATATACTATTTACATTGTATTACTATACTATTTACATTGTATTACTATACTATTTACATTGTATTACTTATTAATAATATACTTTTATATGAGTTAATGCATTTTCAATGAAAAATATACCTACTTATAGAATACATGTTTGACAATATTTCATTTCTTATTAATCCTTCTTAAGATGTGTTTGGAAAGTTTTGATAAAGATATTGATGATGTTACTTATAAAACCTATGAAAATCGACTTTCTACTTTTAAAAACTGGAATGGAAAATTGGAACCTGAGGTATTAGCAGGAGCAGGCTTTTATTATATTTCATATAGTGACGTATGCAAATGTTACTATTGTGGAACTGAAATTTATGAGTGGACCTATGATGACTGTCCTATCGAAGAACATCACAAAATTTCTCCATTATGTAATTTAAATGAATGTCTATGGTTAAGTCAAAACAAAAATAATAAGAAACAAAATTTCAAAAAATCTAATAATTCACTGGAACGTGTAATTTTGATGATATTATTCATTAATTTACATTTTTTTTTTTCAACATATATTTCTTATGCTAATAAGTACTTATATTCATCTATAAAAAAGATATTGTCAAATATCATTTGGCAATCATCTTGAATGGAAGTAAATTGTAGTTAAATAAATTTTTAATAAAATATTTACTTTGTTTCAATGGCTCCTCAAACCCATTTTATTCTCCTTTATTTCATATTTCAAAATGTTATTTATGTTCATTATCCCCCTACTGTAACCCGATGTGAAATATGTTTTTCAAATGAAACAAACATTACACTTGATAAAAATTGTCAGTTTATGAAAGTTGGTTTAATTAATAATAATACGCTTAGTTTTATATATCCCATCAACAAAGGAGAAAATGTTAGTAGGTTTTTTAAAATTTTATATCATTATTCAAACCAAACCATTTTTGATACTAATTGGATTGAAAGATCTGAATTAAAATATGTACATTTTCAAAATGAATCACTCAACTATACTAAATAATGGATATAACACTTTTAATATCATTAATCTCTTTTTAACTTTTACAATATTTTTGTATATTACAATTTTAATTATCTTTTTTTATTATAAATTTCAAACAGGAAATTTATACTTTCATTAATCAATTTCATTTAAAACATTGTTGTGAATAGACAATAAGCAATGCGCATGAGTTGATGATATGAATATGTGGGGATATGAAATGGTAGGGGTATGAATATTAAAGTAAGAGAAGAACTTAATATTATTTAGTTCATTCACCATGTCTTCTAAAAATCATTTAAATTCAAAAATTTTCTTTTTGAATAAATCTTTATCAAAGTTTGTTATTGTTGGTATAAGTAATCAAGATTTTTCACCGAAAATTATAATCGGTGGAAAAAATGGTTTTTCTGTAACTCTAAGTGAAGAAAATTGGAACAGTTTTTGCAATCATCGAGGAGTTATTGAAAACTACTTCTGCTTCCCCCAGCAAATTAACGAACCCATGTTGAATATAAACAAATTTAAATTATATTTTGAGAAAGTTAACAGTCTTCCTGTTGTAAAAATTAAAGAAGAATATTCGAACTATGTATATTTGGGATACGAGTCTATAGAAACATTATGGCGATTAAAGGAAGTTGTGGATTACAGGATTTCTATTATAAAGAAACAAGAATTTTCACTTTACTTTAAAGTATTCCAAACCAACATTTCAATTCAGGAAGGTGATCCTATTGATAATATTTATCGCATTTTGCAACCCAATCAAAATCCAAACAGTGAAAATGTTTCAACCATGTTGGAGTTCCTCATACAGTACCCAGAAGAATTGGAAAAAAGGTTGAAGAGGAATGAACTCAAAAGAAAATATTATGAAGAAATCGGTGACTTTTCAGGAAGAGAAAAATAAACTTTATGTGTTAGTGCAGTGGAATTTTGCTTATAAACAAGCACGAAAAAGTGAATTTAGAACTTATTATTTAGATAGACTTCGTTTTGAAAAACGAATTAATAATTGTAAGCTTATTCTTGATCCAATACTAAGCAAAGAACACAGAACTAAAATGTATTTAACACGATTTGATAATACTTGTATTTAACCAAATATTAAATAAAACTATATTATATTAATTAGTGCTTTATTTTATTTTAAGTTACATAAAACAACTATACAACGAACAAGCAAAGAACACAGAACTAAAATGTATTTAACACGATTTGCTAATACTTGTATTTAACCAAATATTAAATAAAACTATATTATATTAATTAGTGCTTTATTTTATTTTAAGTTACATAAAACAACTATACAACATCATTTTTATTAATCCATGTATTAAACTTTTTATCTAATCCTAACCATTTTACATAAACTTTGTTTCCTTTTCTTCTTAGAATTTTTTCAACGAGGTATACATCAGAGTGTTTTGCTTTCTGTAACTCCTGTTCATAAAATCCACCCTGAATTTCCTCATTTCTTTCATCTTCAATTATATATGTTCTGGGATTTGTCATCTTAACTTTTTTAATTCTAAATATTTCATTTGACCAA